TAAAAAGTTAGGGTCCTGGTCCAAAATCACAACACTGTGAGAGTAGCGAAATGGACAGATAAGCCTAGGCAGGAAAGCTCTACTCAACCACACTAAATAGGGTTTAGGGAAAACACTGTTTCAACCTTGACCCACAGTGTGAATTTAATTTTACACAAACACTCTATAAAATAAATATTTCACAGCAAAACCCCTGTAAAATAGATTGTGTTTTTCTATGTTCTATTATTTTTTATTTCTCTAAGATGCTGTTAGAAGCTATAAACTGGAGTTGGGAATGTGTCACAGTTGGTAGGTTGCTAGCTTAGCATACATGACATCTTAGGTTTGCACTCAGGCATGGCAGAAACCAGGCATGGTGGTTCATGTACTCTCAGCACACAGAGATGGAAAAAGAAAATCAGGAGTTCAAGGCTGGCCTCAGATACACCATTTCAAGGCCTGCCTGAGATACAGTCCTTCCGAGATACAATAGACGTGTTGGTCTAGAACATGACCAAGAACATTGTCATACAGTTTTAAAACCTGACTTAACATTTTGGCTACTTCCAGAACAGTCATGGCTACACAGAGAAACCCTGTTTCAAAAAGCAAACAAAATTGTCTAGCATCTGGGTTTCCTTGTCAATAGCTTTTGGTTGTTTTTCCAAGTAAGGGCCATGTCTTGCTCTTTGTGTATCTTGAATTTCTTTTTCTGTGCACATGTAGACACCACAATGTGGAAACTCTGGGAGTAAGGCGCTCACCCTGCCCAGTATGCTACAGTTGCTGCTCACTGGTGGTCACTGCTGCAGTCAGTATCTAATCACTGCTGTAGACCAATGCTCTAAAGCTCATATCCTCAGGGTGTGAATCCCAGCACAGTGGCCAGCTAAAAGACTGGCCAGAGGTTCAAATATCTGGTGCCAAGAGGCTCAGGTGATTAGGCAAATGCTTCAACAACCAAGCAATCTGTATGTTAGTCTTCATTCTGGCTTGTGAGAGACCTCACAGTCAGCTAGAGATGAGCGAGTGAGTAGTCTGTGGGTTTTTTTTTGTTTTTTTTTTTTTTTTTTTTTTTTTTTTTTTGATCTGTGTATCTTCTAGATCGTCTCTACGGGCATCTCCCTCTGCAGGTATTCCTTTCAGTGTGTAGCTAGGCTCTTGCCCATCTTCATTCTCGGGGGGTGGGGAGTGGCACGCTGCAGGTATGAGTTGACAGTGTTGGTTTGTGAACCACAATCTATCTGATCCCAGAGTTTAGTCTCAATTACTTTTCAACACACTAGCATCCATTGTGAGAGAATACTTCAGCAAAGCTCAATTAAAAGTGCAGTTTAGTTGGACTTGGAGGTACATGCCTGTGATGCCAGCACTCAAGAGGCTGAGGCACAAGGATAGTTCCAGACCATCCCTGTAAAACTCCATAAAAATGTATTGTATCAATCATTTCATTACCTAATTTCTGTTAAAGGTGTTTATATAGAAAGACACAAAGAAAAATGGCAGAGAGAAAAAGGGAATGCTGAGACATTAGGTACCCTGGGATATAAATTAGCTGAATGACTTGCCACATATAAACAAGAGGAAATGTGTAGTGATATTTTGTTTATGTTTTAACAAATAAAGCTTGCCTGAAGATTAGAGTGCAGAGCTAAGCCACTAGAGGGACCTTTTATCTCTACCAATGCTCAGACTAAAGGAGCGATCCTGTTCTCAGACTTCACTGAGCTTTTGTCCCTTCCCACCTTGTATTCCTCTCTCTCCCCAGCCATATCACTTCTGTCTCTACCTCCCTAGTGCTGGGATTAAAGGGGTGGGATCCCTCTGTGTGAGCTACATTTCCCTGTTAGACAAATCCAATCTTACGTGTAGCCCAGGGTGACCTTGAACTACCAGAGAGCCCTCTGCCTCTGTCTCCCAAATTCTGGGATTAAAGGTGTGTGCCCACCACTCCCTGGCCTCTAGTGGCTTAGCTCTGCACTCTGATCTTCAGGCAAATTTTATTTGTTAAAACATAAACAAAATATCACTACAAAAATGAGTATTGGTTTTTTCATCTATAAAATGGAAGGTAAGAGCTGAAGGCACAATAAAATGATAGAATATTTTCTTAGTATGCACAAGGCTTTGGTTCAATACCAACACCAGATAACATGCCAGGATGTGGTATAAACATAAATGGTAATGATCATAATTACCTTGAAACTGGTAGAAACATTAGCTTTACAAGCTCAGAAAAACATTACGAAAAAATCAATTCTTCACAAACCCTATGGAAGGCCACCCAAAAGGCAGCTTTTTGGAATTTACTATCGAATGAAAGCGATCTTCCCTCCAACAAGAAAAACTTCAGAAAGCACTAACATGAAGGCAGACTTAATACATAATGGGAAAATGACAGAGAAAAGAACTAACAACAGCCCTTATAATAGGACTTGAACCATGCCCTGAAGCAACATAGTCAGGCTATATTACATACCAAAGCAGTCTTTTAAAAATACATATTTTCACCAAAGCTACAGAGAAACCTTGTCTCGAAAAACCAAAAAATAAAAATTAAAAAATAAAAATACATATTTTTATGTATATGAGTCTAATGCCTCTGTGTATGTGTGTGCATGTGTGTGTGTGCGCGCACACACTATCTAGAAATATCAAAAGAGGACATCAGATATCCTAGAGCTGGAGTTACAAATGGTATGAGCTGCCATGTGGATGCTGGGAAGTCCTCTGTGAGATCAGCCAATGATCTTAGCACTGAAATAGCTCTCTAGCCCTAGACCAAAACCTGTTCAAGTGTGGATCACGACTCTATCTGGGGTTCCAAAAACTGAACAAAAGGGTGATAAACAATTTATAGCAGTAAAATGTTCCTGAACATAAGGACAGAAAAAAACAATAGACCATGATGGATCTGAAGTGTTTCTGGCAACCTAGATGGTACTGCATTCTGTGACTTGACTACAGCCTTGGTTCTGAGGGCGCAGCCTACAGGTCCTGCACTGTGTACACCATCTCACAGAAAATGCCAACAACACTGCAGAAACACCCTGGTTCAGAGTTGAGACTGCTGTATGTTATGAACTACAGTGCTTTTTTCTTAATTTTTAAATTTTAATTATTTTATGTGTATGAATGACTGCCTGTATGTACATCAATATACTGCACAGGTGCCTGATGTCCACAGAGATCAGAGAGGGTGTTGTGAGTTACTGTGTGGTTGCTGGAAACTAAACCCTGGTCCTCTGTAAGAGCTCTTAACTGCTGAGCATCTCGCCAGCCAAAAGTGTGATCTTTCTATTGTGCATACAAACTTCTCTGCCCTTACAGAAACAAAATGGTTTACCATTAAAAACAAAGGCTTCAGATGTTTTTCCACCATCATTCTACAGCATATCAATAACAAGTTAATGTATCCTTGGATTATTTTTCAATTTAAAAATTGCTGTTTGAATTACTGACTTGAGTTTCATTTTTAAAAAACTGTTTAATAAATTCTGGCTTGGTGGAGAGAATTACCAATGTTTCTGAAATGGCCCTAAGCATACGTCTGCCATTTTGGGGCTATATATAAGAAGCACAATTCTCAGCACTGACAACTAAACTCAAAACACTGGACCACTCTGAAAAACACTGAAGATGTGCTAATGTCCTACAGAATCAAATATTTAGTTCTTTAAAGCCAGGCATGGTGCTGCATGTCTTCAATCCCAGCACTTGACAGGCAGTTCTCTGTGAGATCAAGGTCAACTTGGTCTCCGTAGTAAGTTCCAGGACAGTCAGGGCTACACAGTGAAACCCTGTCTCAAAATACAACCCCCCCCAATAAAAAACAAAAGATTTAGTTCTTTATATAAAAATAAACAAGCATCTATTTGGTTTAAAATAAAGTTATGATTTATTATCAGTCAACATCTGATTTGTATAATTATAAACTATATACCAAGGTTGTAAAAAATGTATTGAATAAAAAGAAATTACAACTGGAAAGACTAGTGCTTTTCAAACCTAATATGTACCATCCAAATCACGGGAACAGCTTGTGACAACTCACACTGCTAGTTTGGCAAGGCAGATCGGTAAAGGCGCTTGCCATCAAATCTGAGTACCCCATGGAAGGAAACAGCCAACTCCATAAAGCTGTCCTCTGATCGCCACACATGGCATAATCAAGCCTGCACATAAATATATGCACACATGCATGTGCACACACACACACACACACACACACACACTAGTAGTAAATAAACATTGCTGGCTAGACTTCCTGAGACCCAAAATCTGATTTCTCAGGTAATAAAGATGGCAATGAGCCAAGAACCTACAGAAAAGAACAATTTAGACATAGCCAGAGCCTCCCTGAAGTACAATATGGAGGTGTGGAAACACCAGGTTTGTACATGTGGCTAGACAGTATGGTCAGAAGAAATGAAAACTTTCTACATAATGTTTCTCCTGAGAAAGTAAGATGACATTTAGAATTAAATCAAAGCTATTCCAAATTTCTCTGTGCTATGGTATTCACTACCTCTGTCCTGTACCTTCTACCTCTCATCTCTCTGGCTTGCAGCGCAAGTGAACAGTGGGCACGAGGTCACAATCGCTTTCTAAGTCACATGGCTATTTGAATTATTGTCTAAAAGTAAACAAGTGTCCTTTATTATCCACCTTGGGATTTTAAATGTTTATGTGAGCATGTTTCTGCCTGAGTGTGTGCCATATGTGTGCAGCTGTCGGAGAAGACAGAAAATAGTGTGGGATCCCCTGCATCCAGAATTACAGGCAATCATGAGCCAACCAATCTGGGTGCTGGGAACAGAATTCAGATCCTCTGGAAGAGCAGTATGTGGTTTTAACCACTGAACCATCTCTCCAGCCCCTACTCTAATAATCTTTACAAACAAAATAAAATAACATGTCCTAAATTATAATATTTAATTAGAATGTTACAATTTAAAAGTTAAAACAAACGAACAAAAAAACCTGTAATTTATTCAGAAACTTACAAGGTAACTTACCAAAACCATCAATGTCTAGATTATTTTCAACCACAACATCTAGCAGAGAGTCACCAACTTTCCCCGTGGCTGTTAGTGTTTCACCATCACGGTTCTTGAAGTGGACTGTTATCTTATCTTCTGAGCTGAGAAAGGAAGCAGTATTTCAGTATTTTTAGTAATTTCAAAATATAATTTAAATCCCAAGGAGATAATTTATCACATAGAGGCTCTTGCCATGAAAGCCTGACCACCTGAGGTGGATCCCTGGAACTCATTCCAAAATGTGGTTATTTGACCTCTACAAAAGTGCCATGGGTGTCCACAAACACATCATCAACATAACTCACACAAGAGTAACAAATAAAAAAATTTAAATCATAACTTAACTGCAAGGTCAAATGACTAAGCACACGTGTAGGAAGAAGACAGTACAGACTGAGGACTTATCCTCTACCCCACCTACAGAGGGCAGGATTGATCTCTTAAAGAAAATAAAAACTATGTCCTGCCCCAGCAGCCCCGTGGGTTGTGAGCTTTTGTCTCCCCACCCGTCACAGATCTGTACAAACACTCAGCAATCATAACCAGGCAGCAAGTCTACTGGGTTTTGTGGTGGAGGCAACAGTGATTCTGGTTTGATTTCCACGCCAGGGATTGAATCCAGACCCTTACACATGCTAAGCACATACCTGACCACTGAGCTACACCCTCAGTTCATAAAACCTATTTTGCTTTCACAAGCTCTTAGAACAGTATCTCTGTGACCATGGCCCTGAGAGACAAGTTCAAGGTTGTTTGTGGTCAGCTTCATAAGAAACAAACCATTCTGCTAGCCACCCGTGTCACTACAGTGCAGGTGTCTGGTCGTGAGACTCTGACCTCAGGGGCAGCTGTTTTACACTTTTGTGAGTCTTTGAACATTTCATTTTCGTCCACACGGTGCATTCAACACTAACAGACTCCTGGGGAGCCATATACCACTGCATGTGTGTTTACTGTGTTATATATCATCAAGTAAACCTAAATTGTTCTCCTTTCTACCAAACATCATTAAAATGTGGGGAAAATCATCATACCCGCACCTGGAGATGTCTCTTCCATTCCCAGCACTTAATTAGTTGTAATGTTTAACCACAATCAAAATTCACAAGTCAGATGAAGCGCCTCCCAGTGGATAATGTTGATATGGCAGTGGATAAAAGGATCCTGCTGATTAAAAAGGTCCAACCTTAAAATATCAGTAAAGGATCAGCTTGTACAATGACTATACACTAACATTTCTTAAATGAAAAAAAGATGAAAATTTGTGCGTGTGCCTTCAAAAAAAAAGTCTACGCTCCCAAACATCTTTTAATTGGGGGTGAGAGAGGCCTTTAAAAACAAGTACTTTTACTCGCCTGGCACTCCTAGCATGTGTCAGGCTCAGCACTGTCAAAAGACAGGAAAAAAAATTATTTGTTTGTTTTGCATGACTTCAGAGACAGAGTCAGGGCAATGCTCTTTGTACCTGAGTCCCAACCTGAGCTCTGTAAAACAAGGATCCTTGCACTGAAGAACTATAATGCTAAACTATTTAAAAGCTATGTTCTTCTCAAGGTAAAACAGCAGAGAATGACAACAGCCCTCACAGCTAGACGATTCTCTAAAACACAAATTTAAAAAGGACGTAGGAGGCAATGACTTGAGCCAGTGGAACTCTGTAGTAAAATGGAAAGTTTAGGAATTCATTTATATATTATTAGGATGTGTGTGTGTGCACACCACACACCATACACATACGCACACACAGGTGCACGCGCACACACACACACACACACAGCAAAGGGATGTTGACATTTTCAGCATGGGCAACTGGGTTTAAATTGGGGTTACTAGGATTAAGAGAAGGAGCTTTGTGAAAGCTGAAAATGAGCTCACATTTAGAACTCGTTTGGCTTCTAATACTTGAAGAACCAGATGGGACAGTCGGCAAGCCATATGGCAATATGAATCGGAGAGAATGACACAGACAAATGCCTGGAAGCTAAGCTATAGGAAATGGGGATGTTTATGGAATTACTCCACTCTGGGGGCTTTAGGATTGCTCTTCTAGAACACACAACTAAACTTACAACAAAGGAATTTCAAATCACTTTAACATCAGTCTTTTGTCAAGGCATTTATCTTACAGTTTTGACAATGTACAAATGCCTAAGCCATGGTAGAACTCAAACACGGATCAGTAACTTTTATTTAAAGTCCCCAAACTTCTTTCTACTGCTAGGAACCTGGACTGCTACTATGTGCTAAAACAGTGGTTCTCAACCTGTGGGTCTCAACCCCTGTGGGGGTCAATTGACTCCTTCACAGGGGTCACCTATCAGATATCCTGCATATCAGATATTTCATTACGATCCATAACAGTAGCAAACTTAGTTTTGAAGTGGGAGCCACCACAACATGAAGAACTGTTGCAGTGTTAGCAAGGTTGAGAACCACTGTACTAAAGGTATTCATCCCTTGTTAACAAATGCTAAGATAAGTAATTGATTTGCTAATGACAAAGGAAGCAGAAATGAGAGGGAAAAGGTAATTCAAGTGAAAGAGTGGAGAAGCAAAAGCCATGGCTTCTGGTCTTACTCCTAAAGCAGTGACCATGGAAATCAATCCTATATACAAGCAAACTAGAGCAGTGACTCCACCCATTAAAGTATTAAAGTACTTTTTTTTTTCTACAGACCCTTACTTATCTTGGGCTAACTTCCTATACTCCAAGTAGCAAAGGACAGCCTTGACTTCTGATCCTCCTGCTCCACCTCCCGAGTGCTGGGATAAT